ACAGTCAGCTGTAGAGTGCTTGGCGCCTATGTGTCTGTACATGTGTTTGTAGACAGACACACACTCTCGTGTAGACACAGAACTGTAACCCCTTTTCTCACGGAGCGTGTCAGGCTCCTTAAAGAATGTTGAGGACCTTGGGTCCTCTGCTGCCCTAACTTCCACACAATAGGGTGGAGCTTTAAAGAGAAAGTAGGAAGCATTAAGTCTTATTCTGTGCTTTAAGATAAGCATAAAGGTGATTTTACCTTTTGGAGGGAAAACTCTGAAAGGGTTTCTGGTAAAACCTTCGCTAGCATCATTTCCAGTGTCTTGTTTTAGAAAGTAATGTGACCCCTAGCATGAACTGGAACATACCCATAAAGAAGAATGTACTTCTTGTACTTGTTTCTCATATTATTGTAACTCTTGCTTGCGAGGATTATGGAAAATTTTATGGAAAACCACCAAGAGTTGTACACAAAAGGCTAACTTAGGTCCTTGTAAAAAAAAATCTCTCAGATTCGTCACTTTCTATCCCAGTGCTCCAGCCCCCTCTTTCTGCAAAGGATGATTGAATATGAGTTTCTGTACCTGACTCAGATTCAAAAAACAAGAACAAAACAAAACAGAAAACCTCTGCGTTTGGGTACATTCAGTCGTAAATGAATCTCAGCTGGATGAGCTGAAAGTTTATTTCTTAATTCCAGTCTCAATGGGGGAATACAGGTAGCCAGGATACTTGGAGACAATACTGTTTCTCCTGCTTCTTATTTCTAATGTATAGAGTTGCAGGTATGATTATGTGACGATTCAACAGATCTGCAGAAATGAATTACTCACTTTTAATATTTCTATAAAAATATTTGAATTTTATGCAATTCACTTTATAAAACTCTTAGTCTCACCTTATAACCTTACAGTGTGTGGAGTCTGGTTTTTTTGTACCTTGTTTAAAATTGTGTGTCAGTAACTTTTATCTTTTGGCATGAAAGCTAGCACTTGATAAACTGTGAGCAACTCCAGAACAAGGACCTTGTGTTTATATTTCTAGCACCTAGCTATTATCTGGCACCTAGCTATTATTATCTTGGTGTTTAATAAGTAGCAGTTAATTAAGTTAATGAATGCTTTCTTTAAATTAGCCAATGTGGGAAATTAGAGAAAAGAAATACCACAGTTGTTCTATTTCAGTGCTTCATTTTATTTTATTTTTATTTAATTTAATTTATTTTATTGAGGTATAGTCAGTTTATAAAGTTGTATCAATTTCTGCTATACAGCATAATGTTTCAGTCTTACATATACACACATATATTCCTTTTCATACTTTTTATTAGAGGTTACTACTAAATGTTGAATATAGTTCCCTATGCTATACAGTATAAACTTATCGTTTATCTATTTTATATGTGCTAGTTAGTATCTGCAAATCTCGAACTCCCAACTTATCCCTTCCCACTCCACTTCCCCCACCAATAACCATAAGTTTGTTTTCTATCTCTGTGAGTCTGTTTCTGTTTTGTAAGTAAGTTCATTAGTGCCTTTTTTTTTTTTTAAGATTCCACATATGAGCGATATCATATGGTATTTTTCTTTCTCTTTCTGCCTTACTTCACTTAGAATGATGATCTCCAGGTCTATCTATGTTGCTGCAAATGTACATTGCTTCGTTTTAAAAAATTTTTTAGTCAATTTTAGGGTTTATAAGTCAGTGTTTAATGTAATTGAAATTATTGCATAGATATCATATTTTATTTTTGAAGCATTTCATGTAAATGTTTTTCTGTTAATGTTTGCATGAACTTCTGTGAAATGACTATAATATAGTGGCTGTTCCTCTCTAGTGAACAATGATTCTTTTCAAGTGTGTGTGTGTTTTCCAGTGTTTATGCTGTGAGGGACATGTCTTCTGTCTTTTTAAAAATGATGTCCTATGATAAAATCTGTTGGGCTGGTAAGTTTCAAAAGAGTATGAAATATTTATATTCTTGCCATCATATTGACAGTGTTTCTGGGGGGTTCATACTGTGCTTTAATGTTTATTTCTAGAATTAGCTTGAAATAATACAAACTTTTATTAGTATGTATTTAATAATTGCCAGTCACTGTATGAGGGTTTCCTAGGATATATAATTGCAGAGTTTAAGGGATCTTTTTTGTAAATTATGAGCAATATGGTTTCGAAAGTCTTTTCTCACAACATACGTAGTGAGAATACTGTGACTGAATGGAGAGAAGGTTGGAATCCTAGATTCAAGTCCTGCCTTGACCTAACTAATTATGTGATCTTGGGCAGAGCACTTAGCTTCTCTGAGCCTCTGTGTGTACCAGCACAGAAATGAAACATTAAGATCCAATTGAGATTATGTGTGACATGGAGGTAATCTATTTGTAAATCAGGTCACGTCATTCATTTGATCAAAACTCTGTAAGACCTCCCAGTTCACTCAGTAAAATCCAGGTCCTTCAGGGGACTCTCTGGCCTTATTTCTTTCTGTTTTCTCTTATTCACTCTGATTCACCCATGTTAGCCTCCTTGCTATTTCTCTAACATGCCAGGTATGATTCTATCTTAGGACCTGGGCACTGGTTTATCCATCTGCTTAAAACACTATGTACTTTCAGAGAAGTGTTTCTACATTTACAAGCAACTGCGTTAATACATTTGTATGTTATTTTTTACACAAAAGTATTGTACTATACAAACGATTTTCACTGAATACATTTTGGAGATTGTCATTAGACTATGACAAACTTTTTTGTTCTATTTAAAAATTTTTACATTGATGTTTGAATTTCATTGTTTTAGATATACAATAATTGATTTCATTGGTTTGTCAAGAATTATAAACGGTCTGAGATTTTACCCTACTTGCAAGCTAACTGATTAGCTTGTCACGGTTTTGTGGATGCTCACAGAAAACAAGGCTGCTGGGTCAGAAAACTTTAATATTCGCAGCAGTAGTAGTAGACAGGGTATTAGCATTTTCTCATACCAGTTTCCCGAGCCTCAGGTCCCACAGCACAACTCAAAGAGGGACAAGTGTGCCTCTATACTCAGTGTGAAACCCTGAGTAAAGGGAA